CTTTAAGCTGGGATTAAACACTGTGAATTACCCCATTCAGTATTTAAAAAGAGGACACGTAGGGCTAAACACGACGCGAGGAACTTGAAATCTCATATTTTGCCCAAGGCCTTGTCACTATAGAGCTCGAGATACCTCAGTAATTGCACGAACTTACTGACTGGGGGTCCGCGGTTCGAGCCCAACCCCGAAATTTCGACTCCCCCTGTCTGGAAATCTGAAGTACCTGACCCACCTTGATTCCTTCGGGTGCCACGGTACTACGCCTGATTGATTATTTCTTATTTCTTATTTTTATTATACGAACTACCGTATTGTGGGAAGATAAATTAGATGGTGTTTTCACGTGGACAAATCAGGTATACTGGTCAGAGCCATTTTCAATTCACGTGGACAAATCAGGTATACTGGTCAGAGCCATTTTCAAAAGTCGTGCTGAATCTCTACCGATGCTCCTAACATTTTGGCCATTTAATCGTGAATCTAATGATTGAAAAAAATTACCATCATTGACTGCAAATAGCAGAGGGTTGTCGCTTTTGACCGGAAACAGAAATTCGTCGTGGTGAGGCAGGAAAAACTCTCGGGAACAACGGTAATGACTTTGTGGAGCCGGTTATCAGACGGCTTGTAGAGCTTTTCATAGTCAACCAAGCCATGATTGATGTACATTTTTAGCTTGGCAGTCAGAGTATCTTGCCATGAAATTTCCTCTGTGCTTCAAGAGAATCAACTTCGGCCCAAGGCGGATAACCTCAAATATGCCATGTATTCTGGTGATTGAGATCAAGTCGAAAAGCGGAGAGGTGAGACGTGGTTAGAGCAAATTCGGGAGCAGATTTCGGAACTAGATTGATAGAATAGCGTTCAGTCGGGAGGCGTTTAGCCAGAGCAGTGAAAAATAAGTCAGAGTTGCCTAGAGAACCGGAACGCGAGAAATTGTGTCAGAAATTGTGATCGAAGAAGCTCGACACTGGCTTCCAGTTCTCAGAAGCCGCACTGAGGTGAATAGTGATCTCATCTACAGAAGCGGATGAGTGTAGGCAACAGATTGTTTAGCGACCTTGGATTAACAGAATTAGGTTGCCTCGACAGAGTACTAAAGTGAGAGGTGTTCTCTTTTCTTCTTAACATCTGCTGTCAGGAACGAATAACGTGTACAATCCCTGCTTGTCACCCCCACCCTCAGAAAATTTGTTCGATTCCTTCCATTGCGTTGAATGTTAAGGTAGGTGTAATGCATTGGTCCGTTCGAGCGTCAGAAATACCCTGAGATTTTACGGCGTCCAGTTCGTCGGTATCACAATGAAGCTCTCAGGCCTTTTTAAATTCACACTTTCGTTATCTCAATCAACTATGCGGTTAATTCAGCGCTATGATGAAACCATCCTCCTTTTGATGCACCGCTAACGGATGAGCCTCTCAGAGGAAGAATCGGATGACACGTCCAGTTTCTGCCTGATTTTTGGGACGGCTCGGTTAGGGCCTGCATGAACAACTAAAATATTTCTCTTTAATACACTTCAGAAATGCGGGAAATATAACGAGGTTGATCTGGATTTTGAGAAAACACGGGTTGCAACACTCTAAAGCGCGGCCAGTCCTGCTAGATTTCGTTGCCGGGGGATATAGACAACTCACAAAATGTGCAAACACAATCGGTAGAGGGTATGGGACCGGCAAAGTCAGTTCACGTGGGTCGCGGTCACCGAATGCAACCACATCGTGAATTGACGACCTATTCATAAACACAAACCGAACATTGGCAAACAACACGTGACATTCGCAGAGGCACGCGCAAATGAGCGTATGGCATTCAGTGCCATAATATTTCACGGTGAAACAAACACCAGGGCTTTCTACGCGATCTTAATGTAACTTGGTTTTGCAGCTGTAAAAGATCTCGCTGCGGATGAGATTGGAGTACCTTTGATGGCTTCCATTAGCGAACGTTTTATTTCCCGTTCGGCTGAGATGTGAGCTATGGCTGAATCATCTGAGCCCGCTGGTCCATTTTCTAAAAGTCTTGATAATGAATCCGCCTGACTGATCTGGTTGGTAGATTTAAAATTGACGCTAAGGATCTAACCGAGAAACATTGCAGCACATCTTTGAAGTCCATTGGCAGAATAGACAGGAACTGCATTTCTAGGATAAGAAAACGGCTGATTGTGGAGTGTGGTCTGCAAAAAAATAAATAAATTCCACTACATGAGGCAGTCACAAATTTATCATGGTAAAACAAACGCAGGTTTTCTTACTCGATCTAACTGTAACTTAGTTTTGCAGCAGTGAAAGATTTAAATATATGGGTTATGGCTTTTACCGGGCTAACTTCCGAGCTCTGTTTCGATCCAAATTGGACATTCCTCAAAGGCAAACAGGTTGATCGGTTGATCAGTGTCGTGAAAGATTTGAACGGGTATTCAACCCATCGGTCTAGGGAGAGTGATTAACAACCAATTAAACTTTATCAACAAAAATGGTTATTCCCATTCTGTTGATATCATGACCCATTTGAGGTGACGACCAGCGGGAAACCATAAATCGTATTAGTGAGAGAACACCTGTTGTAAT